AAACTAACTAACAAAACAAAACCCATAAAAAGTGTAATAACTACTAATCAATCATCAAAGAGTGCACAACGCCACTAAAACAAGGAAATTTCATACCACATAACAACAAAACCACAAAAACCAAGTTTCAACACAAACACAATAAAAGATGTCTTCAGAGTTCAATCACAAGCCATCATAACAAACCCAAATAAAAAACACTACCCAACTAAACCAATGAGCCCATTGGCCACACACAAACACCACCACCACTCAATAATCCTCCGGTTCGTCATCCTCACCTTCACCCGACTCAGCCCCGACTTCCTCATAATCCTTCTCCAGAGCAGCCAAATCCTCCCGAGCCTCTGAGAACTCTCCTTCCTCCATACCCTCACCTACATACCAATGCACAAACGCACGCTTAGCATACATCAAGTCAAACTTGTGGTCAATCCTCGAGAAAACCTCAGCAACACTTGTCGAGTTTGAAATCATGCACACAGCCCTCTGAACTTTCGCAAGATCCCCGCCTGGGACAACAGTCGGTGGCTGGTAGTTAATTCCACACTTGAATCCAGTCGGGCACCAGTCGACAAACTGAATGGTCCTCTTCGTTTTGATGGTGGCCACAGCAGCATTAACATCTTTCGGGACTACATCGCCTCTGTACATGAGGCAGCAAGCCATGTACTTTCCATGGCGCGGGTCGCATTTGACCATCATAGACGAGGGCTCGAAGGCTGTGTTTGTGATCTCAGCCACGGAAAGCTGCTCATGGTAGGCCTTCTCAGCTGAGATAACGGGCGCGTAAGATGAGAGCATGAAGTGGATCCTTGGGTACGGGACAAGATTGGTTTGGAACTCATTCACATCAACATTCAGGGCACCGTCGAATCTCAGTGAAGCAGTTAGTGAAGATATCACCTGGACAGTTTTCAAGACACATTTTTTTGTTAAAGGTAATTAAATTAGTTAATTAATTACCTACATCTTAAATTAGTTAATTAATTACCTACCTACAAGATGTAGCGAAAAATTACCTGAGAGATGAGCCGGTTGAGGTTTGTATAGGTCGGCCTCTCGATGTCAAGAGACTTGCGGCAAATGTCGTAAATTGCCTCATTATCCAGAAGAATAGCGACATCAGTGTGCTCGAGGAGGGAATGAGTGGAAAGAACCGAGTTGTAAGGCTCGACAACAGCTGTCGAGACCTGGGGGGAAGGGTAAATTGTGAACCCGAGCTTCGATTTTTTGCCATAGTCAACAGAGAGCCTCTCGAGCAAGAGGGAACCGAGCCCAGATCCAGTGCCGCCACCCACAGCGTGGAAGACGAGAAAGCCCTGAAGGCCAGTGCAGTTGTCAGCAAGCTTACGGATCCTGTCAAGGCAAAGGTCCACGATTTCCTTGCCAATCGTGTAGTGGCCCCGGGCAAAGTTGTTGGCCGCGTCCTCTTTGCCGCTGATGAGCTGCTCGGGGTGGAACAGCTGGCGGTATGTGCCCGTGCGGACCTCATCAATCACTGTTGGCTCGAGATCTACAAACACTGCTCGGGGGACATGTTTGCCTGCACCAGTCTCGCTGAAGAATGTGTTGAAGGCATCGTCACCTCCACCAACAGTGGTATCACTGGGCATTTGTCCATCAGGCTGATGTAAACGGCACATTAAAGAACACCAAGTTATAAAGTTAAAGGCCCAAAACAGGTTGTCTTCATCAGAGCAAAAGGAATAATATAGCGGAATGAAAAAAGCAATCCCACATCTCAGTTTGCAGAATAAAAACCAATGACTGGTTGGTATAATTAGCATCAACAGAAAGCTGTACACATATGTAAATGAAATCATAATAACCTCAATCTCCAAATGTTTGAGTGCACAAATTCATTAGCTTCTCCATTTTATTAACAAACCTCGGAAAAATACTAGAAAACTTCTTAACATTCCCAGATCTGAGTTAGAGAAATGTGGCTCTTATTAGGTATAACTACAATGATAGAACATTCAACATGAACCAAACTCCAACAGGTAACAAAATTGCAAGTGAGTACATAAAATCACCAGTTCTAACAACAGCACCGTAAACAGGATGTAAGGAAGATAAGAGGGACCATTATCTTCGTCAAAAAGCACTCAGTGCTACTATCATTCAAGACAAATCAAACTCCAGTGAGCTACAAAACGCAATCAAATACACGAAAGCAGCCAGAATTCGTCTAGAAATTAAATAATTGAAGGAAGGCTGCATGAACAACGAAATGGTAGAGCAATGTGAATGATAGAACACATTGCTCTTCCAATCATCATACCGGAAAAATCAAACTCCGACCAGTAAGAGAAGACATTAAAATAACCAGATCTAACGAAATCAACGCATACAAGATGTAACTGAGACAACAATCAGATCAAACACAATATTACTATCATTCACGACAGATCAAACATGATTGAGCAACAAAAGGCAACCAAACACATGAAAAACAGCCAGATCTCGTATCGAACTTAAACAATTGAAAACAAATCTGCATAAAACAGCAGGATCTGACAAAATTCACGATAAAAAACAGCAAAAATCGGAACAAAAGCAGATCGAATCGAACCTGAATGCCATGCTCGAGACAGTAAAGCTCCCAACAGGCATTGCCGACCTGAATTCCGGCCTGTCCGATGTGGATCGAGATGCACTCCCTCATTTTCGATCTTTTTCGGCGAGATTCAAATTCGAAAAATGGATTTTTTTTTTTTTTTT